CAATATCAAATACACATTGTTTTTTTCTAAATAAATTTATGACAACTTCAACACTTTTAATGCTGGCTCTTTATTAGACCTCGGTGTAATTTGTGCACAATAATTGTTTAAAAAAATATTAGCAAGTGTGTTACAAAATATTATAAGTGTGTTTAATTTCAAAAAAATAAAATTCTAAAACTAACAAAAAGATATCACTCAAGGACTGCCGACTTTATCTTTAATAGAGTGAAACAAAATAAAACAAAAAAAGACCCATTGGCATACATTGTCTAGTGGAATTTTAAGACCACCACGATCTATAGAATTAAGGTAGCCACCAAACTTTTCATAATAAAGCATTGTTTGTTCGAACAAGTTACTTTCATTGTATTCATTTCTACATACATAACCAGCAATATATATCAAAGACATTTTGGTGGAATCAGATATTGATGATTCTAGTTTTTCTAAATTGTCAAATATTTCACTACCTGCCTCACATAAGACATATGTGCAAGAGGGGCAATTATGACCCGAAGATAAATCAAAATAATCTATGTCAACATTTAGAGATAATAACAGCGATGTGTGATTTATATGCAATTTTTCTATAATTTGTTGAACATTTATGAAATAGGTACCTCCACAACCTTGTCTTAATTTCCCAAAATCTTTTTCTAAATGGTCACTTGTAAACATACCAAGAAGAACATAATCATGACTAGTTTCTAATAAGTGTTTACACAGTTCAACGGTGCCATAACAAGTATGGTGAATTGCTTTTGCAGTATCATTAAATAACTGCCCAACTCTTGTGCCTTTTTTACAGCACATTTCAAGGGCCATATCACCAAACTGGAAAAGAGTATTAAGGCGGTAATCATCACGACTACAAATTGGTGCTTCTAAAGGCTCATTGTGTCTCACATCAGCTCCATGACCTTTCACGTTCAAAATTTTCCACCAAGTTGTTACTTTTTTTATAAAAATTGCAGTATCTTTTGAGTTTGAATTTATTTGAGAATGACTCAGTAAGGCATGATATGTTTTATCTGAAAAAACTCTAAGACAAGTAGAAACACTTTGCCTTTCTATTGGCTTTGGAGCTATTGCAACTTCATTTAAGTCTGATAATTTGACTAACTTTTCTGATTCTAACTTATATAAGCATTTAAGGTGTTCCCACTTGGCTGTTCTTTGAACACCATTATCATTGTACAGTAGTTCCCCAGCTTTTTCTGTAAGCCATAGATTTCTAATGTTTTTCAAAAGGTGAACAAAAGTCAAACAGTAAATACATCCAAAAATGTATTTACTGTTTGATGTAAAATGTATTTACTGATGGGATGTATTTACTGTTTGACTTTCAAAAGTCAAACAGTAAATACATCCCATCCTCTGTTTTCCAAGGCTTTCCTGGAATAGTACGATATAATCTAAAAAAAGCTTGATTTACACGATTACCATCACATATAACAACTTTGACATCACCAGCAGATGCTTTTATAAGTCTTCAAACAGAAAGCTTGAGTTTAATTTTGAAATTGGTATCATCTTATATAGAAATTTAGGACCACCTTTAAGACAAACAACCATAATTCCTAACACAGTTTTAGCTAATAACGAAGGATCATCTAAAGATTTACCGAATAATGTTCCACCATGGTACAGCAACATCTTTTTCACATATACTTCATCATGAATAACTATACAAATTCTCTTTTTTTCTTCAATGCTATTAAATACTGAGTTCAAAAAACTGGCATCATCAATTTTAGAAACTTTTGATGTAATACGTGTCAAAGTACTAATTGAAGGCAATTGAAAATCATGTCTTAATTGATTATATAAAACACGAGATGTCGAAAAATATTCGAAACTACGTATAACTACATCTGAGTCATATATTTTGTTTCCAATAAGTTTCGCAGACATAACTGAGATTTGTTGTTGAATAACCTTTTTCTTATGATCTGTCTCCATGACGTTTAAAAAATGTATAATTTCCTCAAACTTTGACCAGGAATCAACAATAGTTATACGATTTCTAGATAAACTTTTTATAAAACATTTTACTCCTAAATGGAAAGTTTCAAAATGCAAATTCTCAAAAATTTTAACAAGAAATTGAGGAATACCATTATTAAATATAACAGATTGAATAGTAATTGTTTTTCCAACCATATATGTTACCAATGGAAATGAAAATGTTCTGAGATTATTTAATAAAACATCTTTAAAATCATTATATGTTGCCATATCAGCAAGTGAAAAAGTGCTGAGTTCATCAGTTCCAACATTTCGAAAATGACTTAAAGATTTCTGGGTTGTTCGCAGACGTGGTAATGGAGTAGGTATTTGACTTATAGGTATTCCAGGCCATACAGATGGTGGAATCTTTGGTCGTTGTTTTCCATGTACAGTAACTGTTTCAAAACATGTTGGCCAATGCAATTGGCAAATAACAGTTTCATCTGTAACTAAAAGATTCGAATTTGGAATACTTTGAATCCAAATATTTCTTTGTTCTTTATCTTTAGGAAATCGATAAACTGGTACTTTTTCAAAGCTTTCATTATTTTTGGTGCTTTGATGGTTTGTTTTGCAGCCATATACACAACACTTTTTAGGCATCTGAAAGTATAAGTTATTGTAGAGATTATAAAAGTAAGCAATTAATAACATAAGGTGATTCAACTATAATAGATTATCAGCCAAAATGAAGACATAAATAATGTAACTCTTTTACTAACTTTTCAACTCCTAACATTGTTAAGAATTAAAAAGTTGAGAGCAAAAATACAGATTAAAATTATTTAATAAAATTTATAACATAAAAACCATTAAATTAAAAACCACAAATATTTGATGATATAAAAGAATAAAAAATATTAATTTTAAAATTCTCTAGAAAGCTTTACAACGTGCATGCTTTTAATCTACGCATTTTATTATAGGCCCCCAGTTACGGCTTACGGATAGGCCTTCAGTATAGATCGCCATGCATTAGGTATATACTTAAAAAATAAAAATAATAACATTTTTAAATTTTTTAAAATTATATAATTAAATTGCCAGGCTATAATTACTCAGTTGAAGATGTTTAGCAGTATGTCTCTGGTGGAATGATAAATCATTATAATAAAAATTGTTAACTTTTATATAATTTATAATATTATATAATAATAAGTTAAACTTTTATATAATTTATGATTAAGAGTTTATTATTATTGTGTATTTCATATTATTGTATGTTTCTGAAGTTAATTTTGTACTTTGTCTCAGCATTCCAAAAACTACAGTTGTTTTGGGACTTTCATTTTGTGCATTGACTTATTTATCAATTTTCCTTGAACTATTAGTTAATTTTGTTATATATTTAAGTGTTCCAATTAAGTATTACTGGAGATATTTATTAAAAACAGTCTAAGATTAAATTAACTCTAAATTTATTATGGATTTGAACCTAATTTTCAGAAAGTGACCTTGGTACAGTCCGAAAAAAGCTTATTGTTCTAGGGCCACTAATTTTTAAACCCTTCTACTTAATGGAATTTTATTAGTATAAGTCAATATACTTATGCTAATACAAAGTAATTAGTATAGAGATATGATCGTATCAGTTTCGCCATTTTTAGACAGGTCTGGGGCCTTAGATTTGGGGATTGAAAAAATCTGGCCATAGCTCCACAAACTTCCCCTAGACTTTGCTAAAACTCTTGCTTTAACAAAACTTGGAAAAAAAATGTATTATTACAATAACTGATCATTTGGGTAAATATACTGAAAAAATAACAACTAATATGTAACTACTTTATTTTATAGATTTTTGATACTCTTCAAAAAACTCTAAAATTTTAGATTATTTTATAAAATCTGCTTATTTTCCTCAAACCAATCAACCAATCAAACCAATCAACGAGAAAAAGTTCAGAGTAATGGTAGCAATTCCACGGCGCTTCAAAAACCATTTGACAAAAAAAACAACTTATTTTCATAAACTTTACTCTCTTATATCTTTTTGTAGAGTTAAGCAATTACCTAGGTAATTGCTTAACGTTTTTTTTTTGTATAGTACTTTTTATGTATAGTACTTTTTTGTATAGTACTTTTTTTGTATTTTACTTTTTTTGTATAGTACTTTTTTTGTATAGTACTTTTTTGTATAGTACTTTTTATATATGGCTGGAAAGAGGTTGAGTAATACTAATTGATACAAAAAACTTCAAGGTACCTTGAAGTTTTTTGTATCAATTAGTATTACTCAACCTCTTTTCAGCCATATATAAAAAGTACTATGCTTTATATGGCTTCACTTAAATATTATCAATATCCTGAGACCACTTTTGATAAAAAAAACTTGCCGCGGGAACGTTTTTATAAACGAAGCTTTTTCATGTAAGAATTCCTAATTATCAAAACACATCCAATTTGCATGAAATTCTCCATGTAGACTAAAAAAGGAATGAGGAATTTAATGGAATGTGGACCATTTTAATATTTGCTCATATTTGTTTAGTTTTCAGTATTGTAAAATTTTATTGTTGGTTTTTTTTTGAAAAAAAAACTTTTTTCAAAAACGTCCAAGCGCAAAAGGCAAGTATAGCCTTTCCTCTATCTAAATCAAGTATTTATTTATGTTTTCTTCAAGAATTGATACTTAGGAAATGCATTTATAAATTTTGTATATTTATCTTTTTTTCAAAACGCCGTTTTTTGTTTTGATTTTTGCGTTTGTTTTTGTTTATATATTTTTTTTGCATTCGCAATGGATTAATGCCTTTTTGATGTTTACTTTTCACTTTCTAATCTAATATTTATTTATACACTTAAGAAGTAGTTAAATACAAAAAATAATTTTATGAAAATATTACATAACTGCTTTATATGGCATAAAACTCTTGCTTTTGTTCCTTCCATCATTTTTGTTTGTTTTTAAAAAAGAAAAAAATTGTCATACTGAAAGATATTGAAAGTGAAAGTGAAACTCTTTAGACTTCAAGCTATTAAAAGTATTTTATTTTGCTTTTTAAAGGTATTTTATTTTGCTTTTTAAAGGTATTTTGTTTGGATTCATCCACAAAATTGCAAGCTTGATTGTTAGTCTATTAACTATAGATTCTTTAAACTGTTGTTTTTTTTTAAACAAAAACCTATAAATAATCAGCAAAAGTTCACAAAAATTGAAATGTGTAAGAATTTATTTGATTAGTTTCAGTATCATATTGATTATGGTTTAGTTTTATATACCTGGATATGCTGTATGTAAGCATAATTGTATGCCATTTTACTATTAACTTTAGAGAACTCATATGAACTCTGTTCTTTTATATTTTCAGTGTGTACATGAAATGGTGGTTCCATCTATAAACCGAGATAGTAAGTGATACTTTGATACGTATCAAAGTACGTATAAAACGTACTAGTATATACTAGTACGTTTTTCAATCAGGAACAAAGTAGCACAAATACTTTGCATTATAATTATTTTATTTATTGAAAGCAAAGTTTTATTCATCAAATAATTTTGTACAATTAGAATTGAGTTTATTTTTAATTTCAGTTTCCAAAATATCATCAGAAACAGCCTTGGATACATACAATAATATTTTGGATTACCTAAATATTAATGGGAGCATTGTGTCTCTCAAACATCCTGATTTTCTTTTGAGCAATAGACACTTTTTTCAAATTTTCAAAGAAAAAAATAAACATAAGTTAACATGGCCAAATTTGTTTACATTTTTTTCAACCTACTCTAAAAATTTTTTTTTAACCATTTAAACATCGGAGAGAAGCAATTTTGTTGTTGACTAAAATTAACAACTGTGCAATCTGTCATCGAAGATTTGAAGGAAACAATAAGCTTTCTAAGATCATCCTTGTAGTTGTGATTTTTAGAAGAAAATAACTGAGCCATATCAGTAAATAAATTTTTATTACCCAAATAAGATTGTTCCTTGCCCGAAAACATATCTACTATCCCTAATGTGTACCAGATGATGTTGTAACTTGAAAACTACCAACCTCCTTAAAATTGTACTTTGTGCCATCTGCATAAAGAACATTGTGCGATTAAACATAGCCTCTCTAACTTGAGCTTTTAATAGAATGTTTATTTCACTAAAAAATTCAACAGCTAAAGAATTTTTAGGAAACGTGCCTCTTAAAATTCCAGCAATATTTTGTAGTACAGTTCTGATAACAGATTTAACATTATTGACAGAAACATTTCTACTTAAGAGATCGTCATAGAGCAAATTTCCTCATTATATCTACCCTCTTCAAAAATGTGATTTTTGTGTTGATAGACAACTTGGCTTACCTTCTTGCTGGTGTCTATCGTTAAAAATTATTATTATAATGTTTGGTTACTGAAACTTTCTACCTCTAAAAGCCAAGAGATAAGTTTTAGAATAACAACATTTTTTTTTTTAATGTTGTTTTCATTTTTTTTATCTTAATATTGTCAATAGTTCACATAAACATTCTCAAAGAGTAAGTTTCTTATTTTATATTTATTTAGTTTTAATTGTTAATATATAATTTTTTTTTTTTTTTTTTTTTAATTTTTAAAACGAATTAACAAATATTTTTAAAAAATTGTGTATCTGCGTTTTTAATAATAATTTTATTACACTTTTAGGTTGAGTTTCTGCTGTTACACCTGTTATTGCTGTTGTAAGTACTCAAAATTTCAGGAAGTTCTATTGCTGTAAGTTTTTTTCATTCAAATTTAAATTTTAACTTTATTAAAGAATCTTCTATCTGTTAAATAGGTAATTCTGAATGATTTAGTTAGATTTCAATGCCCTTATGCAGTAATTTACTAATTGGTTTGTAAATTAAGAAGTAGTTATAAACAGATGAATTAATTGGATTCCACGATCCTGCATGCATATTAGCGTGGAGTTTTTATAATATAACCTGAAATTTTTTCTAAAAGACTAGGTAAATAAGTAAAAACACTTCAGTCTGTAAAATTAACAATTCTGGATAATTTTGACAGATGCAAAAAAAATTATGGCATTTAATTTTCTTATAGTTTTGTACCTCTATCAAAAACTTCAAGTGAAATGTAATAACAGTTGGAAATTATCAAATATTTTTAAAGTCAAATTACCCAATTGGTTTGGTGCAACCCTCTTGTAGTAATTTACTGACCGTTCTGTAAATTATGAAATAATTTCAAAATGATGTATTTTTCAGATTCCATGATTCTTTTATGCATATTTGCATATTTTAACCCTAATTTTTGTTGTTCATTACATAATTAAATAATTAAAAAGTCTGTAAAATAAACAATTTTGTATGATCCCAACAGATTCAATAAAAACTGGATCACTATTTAAAATTTCAAGTCAAATGTAATAACGGTTCAAAAATATCAAATATATTTAAGGTCGATATGCCCAATTACAGAAAAAGGGTTTGTACACCCTTTTTTCTGTAATTTACTGACCGGTATGTAATTTTATGCAATGATTTTACTGACAGGTCTGTAAGTTATGCAATAGTTTTCAAATATTGCATTTTTTAGATTCCATGATTCCTTTATGCATATTTGCATAGTGCAACCCTATTTTTTTTTTCTTTATAACACAATTAAATAAGTAGAAACTTTTCAGTCTGTAAAATAAACGATTCTGGATAATCCTGACAGATTTAATAAAAACTGGATCACTATTCTAAATTTCAAATCAAATGTAATAATGGCACAAAAATATCAAAAATTTTAAAAAAATTACAAACTTATTTGAATATTTTAAATTCCATCAATATATATAAATAAATTTTTTTTATTTTTTATTGTTGGTTTGTTTATGTTTGTTATTGTTCATGTTTTTTTTTTATTGTTGGTATTGTTTATTTATGTTTTAGTTAATATTTAAAAAGTTCATTACTTATTTTATTTTTGTAGGTGTCTTATAGATGTCTAAAGTTATACATTTGGCTAATTTAGGTCAGCTAGTGCTTGTTCTTTATTTTGTTACTGGCATGATGATTTATTTTGCTCACTTTTTTTTCTTACTGTCATCAGTTATTCATTTTATCAACAAGGGTTATGATATAAGATATAGTTAACAATAGCTACCATTACAACTACACCAAAAGTAGCAGTTAAAAATATGGCTATGCAATTTTTAATTGTAATGAGATATTTGATCAATTTTTTAATAGAATAATGTGAAAGTATAGACTATTCTGGCATGTTGATACCATGGCTATTTTAATATTTTTAACATTTATATGATTTAAAAATTCAAATCCTTCTGGCACACATTTAGAGTTCATTTTGTAAATCAATTTATTGACATATGTTGATCAATGCGTTTATCAAGGACTCTTCTGGCACAAAAGCATGTATTCTTATTAATACTTTTTTTGTTCGTTGCGATTTTATGAAACTATTTATATTGTACTATATTTCTATACTATATAGGCTTGTAATGTGGAAAAATCGAGTTTCTTCCAAAAATGCCTAAGTTTAACCAAGTTGATTTTTTTAAAAGAACTAAAAAACCATTTTATTTTATTTTGCTTTTTATATTGTGTAAGGACATTTTAACCTTATTTTTAAAATAAAGTTTTAGTGTAGCATGAAGTGTGTCGTTTCTTTAATGTTGTTTTTATTTAAAACATTCACATAGTAAGAAATAGTAAACTAAGTTTAGATCACATTTTATTATTATTGTGCTATACTACATAAAACCGCTAAAATCGTCGAATAATACTTGTCTAGGTTGTTATTCAATGGTAGTACAATAGTGGTGTCCCAGTAAGTAAAAGACGCCAAGCCGTAGTTGTAATTTGGTTGTATTTTGGTTGCGACGCAAGTTAACTAAATTCCAACGATGTTCCAATGTCGGCATAATGGTGTTGTTCTAACGTTTGCTATCAAATGTTGGAACAGCGTCGGAAAAACGTTATCATCTAAAGTCTTAAATGTTAACATTAAAACGTTGTTGGAACAATGTTGGTTGTTTAACATAAAACCAACGTTAGTCTGATTAACGTTGGAACGACTTTGGAACAACGTTGCTTTTTTAAGTTTTTACTTTTGACATTAAAGCAACATCAGCTTTCTAACGTAAACACAGCTTGATTTTAGAAACTTGCGCATTTTTAAAATGGTTGAAAAACCGTTATCGAAAAAGATGTTATTTTTAATCTGGTTTTTAGGCATTATATTCTGTGATACTAATAATTAATACATTATTTCTTTATATTCTACATTCGAATTAGATATTAAATTTTTATCAAATTAATGATAAATAAAAGTTACTAAAACTTTATTTGATTTTCAAAAACTGTTGACATTTTTGGTATGTTTTTGTATACTTTGTATATTTAATGTTACTTATATAGTAAAAATTTCTAACATATATAATATTTGCACATAATATTTTATTTACAAATAGATAATGCAATGATAGGTTTTTTAAATACCCGTTATTAAACTGTTTAATAGTTTAATTAAATGCCAATAAAAATACAGAGCCTTTTTTTTTAAGACATTCAGTTCAGTTGTCTAAGACAGTTTTAAGTTTTTACTTAATATACATAATATATTAAGTATAAATTTAAGACAATTAAGTTATATTAAGACAATGTCTTAATCATAATATATATTTTATTTATTTGAATGGAAAGTTTTTCAGTTTGTTGTGGAACTAGACTAGAAATTACCTAATAAGCTTCTTATAACTTGTGTAATGTGTTTCTTTTACAAATTTGTATATTGGTATAATCATATCATGCTATTCCTACAATATTATAACTAACACTGACTCTCATAAGTTTGAGTCTCAAGTCACGAAAAAGGGTAAACAATTTTTTATGTATTTGTATTAAGCTATTTTTATTTTATTTGTTTTTTATTGTTATTCACCTCCAGGTTACTACCAGGAACATGGTAAAGGTAGAACTCATAACTTCTCACTATGAAGCAAGCGAAAAATATATCCTACAGAAACAGCAACAGAACATCTAAATTTTACACTAGATCTTAGTCATAATAAACATAATATTTATTTAAATCAATACACACAAAGTGTTAGATGATATACACTCAGTCAGTATTTAATTTTCAAAATGAATCACAATCTCATGTTTCCCTAATTTCAGAGTTGAAAGAAAGAGCTGATTTTGGCCATAAAGGCCATAAAGGGTGCTGCAGTTGAGGAGGCTCCTTTTTATTTCAATTGTGGTTATAACCCCCTCTCAGCTCAATAACTCTGAAGTATTTCAATAAAGTACATGTCAAATATATTTGTGTGTAGTTTTTGTATATGATATGTGATATGATATAGTTTTTAAAATTGATGTTATACCAAAATACATACATGCATATATATATATATATATATATATATATATATATATATATATATATATATATATATATTGTCATAGTACTATCATTTACTTATTCTCTTATCTTTCTAACCAAAAAACTAATTAATCTTATATTTTAATAAAACTCATGCCAAGTTAAAATATATATTTTTTGAATGTTATTATTTTTCTTCAATTTTTATGTGCAGAGTTTAAGTACTACGTTATCAAGGTGTTTAGAATCAGAACAAGTTGACTTAAATATACATAATCACATTATTTAATCTTAAACTTAAACTTAACAATAGAATATTTGAACGAGTTTACACTAAGAATTGGTAACAAAGGTTTTGCTCAACAGTTTGTGAGTTTGATTTCAATATGTTTAACATGATTTAGAGAACAAAACCTGGACAATATATTTTAACGCCCAGGTTTTGAAACAGCAAAAAATTTACAATCACTTTAATAAAATGAATCTAAATCATTTGCTGTTACAAATTATGTCATCCTATTTATTCAGCCTATAAATATTTTTAAACATTTTAGATTGGTTGCAGCCTAACAAAATTGTGAAAAAACAATATTGAATAATTCTAATGTTTTAAAATTTTATTTCCGTTACAAAATTTAGTGAATAAAAATGTTTTATATTTATGAGTTTGCCATGATTGCTCTGATTGAATCATGGCAAAATACTTATTCAGTTCTAACTGTTTATTAAATAAGCTTGGGTCTTTAATGCTTGACCTTGGTGAATGCAGTAAAAATATTTAAATAAGATCTTATGTGTAAAACACTTCAAAGTGCCTTTTTTATATTTTTTTCTTTTTTAGGCCAACTCTCACGTGTTGGCAGAAAGTTACCAAAATATGTTGAGGACTTAATTCAGAGGTATCTTTTGTATTTCTTCATTTATATTTTTATTTGTTTTATGTATATTCAGAACATTGCAGGCATTATGAATAAATGCAAAGATTTTGTTAATTATTATTTTAATATTACTTTAAATGAGTATTCATATTGCATGTGAATATTTATATAACACATTAGCAAACTAATACAAATGGCTATAAAAATGATATCAATAGAACATTTTGAAGTATTTTTTATTATAAAAGTTCAGTAAACCCTTTGCTATTTGTGCTGATTTTTAATTTTTGACCTTGTTCAATGGCCAGTATATTAAAAGTATGTTTCATAATGATCACATGTGTATTAACCAATGATATTTTATTTAAACTAGTTGTCTTACTTCAATCCAAAAAGTGAAGCCGCTTTTGTCCTTTTTACAAATGACAGATTAAATTTGTAAACAAATACTATTTAACTATTTTTTTATATATGAAGTAAATATATTTTTATATATGTAATGTATTTTAAATCTATATATGTAGTCTATATATGTAAAAGTGTTAAGAGGAAATTAGAGTACTTGTAAAGTAATAATTTATGATTTCTAAGTTTATTTTCGATTAAAAAGCTTAAAAAGGATTAAAATTTAAAATAGAAATAAACCTTAAATAAACCTTGATAAGTACTTTATATTTATTATAACATGTTTTTGAATTATCTTTAATTTATTGGTTAATTTTGACTCGCATTTTGAACTTTTATTCCACACATTTGCTTCAGCTTTAACACTTTTTACAAATGGCAAATTATATTTTTAAGCAAAAAAAGTGACATCATTTTTTGTTCAATAAAGGACCACAAGTTTGACATCTAGTTTATATAATATATCATCTAGTTTATATTATATAGTTTGTTTTGGGATTGTCCGTCAATTATTGATATTTTGAAAAAACGGAGCCAGAGGTATGTGATTTGTCATATGTTCAAATTAATCATATTTTTGAAAAGTCTCATGACTTTTAACAAAATCAGATGGTAAAAAACCATCTGATTTTGTTAAAAACAGAAAGTCTAGATCACAGATGGAGTTTTAAAAAATAAAAGGCTATACAGTTAATTTTTTTTGTATACTGTTCTCTATGCACTGAAGATACAAATTAAATTAGCAGAATCAATGCATTGGTTATGCATTGTTGCTATTAAATTGGTTTGGATGACTGTATTATTAAGGCTGTGGATTATTATGGTCCAACATTCATAACATACAATTTACATAACCTTATTCGTTTTTTATAGTTTTCTGAATGATTGCTTCTTGATGTCTGCTTTTTTATTTAAAAAATTATTGGCTTTTGGTAAGAAGATGCCACTTGCTCAAATGGTCAAGGGTTTAAGTGAAATATAAGTAGTTCGGATTCGAAGAAAAAACACCTAACAAAGTAATCATTAGTCTTGAAGAGAGCTATTTATAAAAACAATTTTTGATTCTTTGCTTAGTGAAAATGTACCATTTCAGTTTCTTTATTTACCATGCAATTCATGTTATAAAAAAATATATTGCCAAAATAACACTTGTAAAAAAATAACTTTCCAGAAATTTGAACTCAAAGATATTTTATATCTTTTGAGGGTAAAACTAGTCATATTTTTTTTTTCCATTATTTCATGATTGTGTGTTTTAAATTAATTTTGTTTATTTATTCAATTAAAATTATTTTGGAGGCAATTTCATTAGTTTTGCATTTTATTGAGGTATTGTTTATTCTATTTCAGATAATGTTGCTAAACGATTTACAGTCGATAATCTTTTGAAAGCAGAAAAACTTAGGTTAGCATCAAATAGAAAGTTAGCGCAATTTCTGGTATTTGTGGTATTTCTATTTGTTTATTCCGAATGTTTTTTTATTTAGTTCTTAAAAATGCTTTTAATTGGATTTGTTTGTAACTTTATGTTTCTTCATATTTATTTGTCTTTTAGTGTCAAACAAAGAATACGCGAATTATTTGAGATATGATTGAAATTTGCAAAGAAAGTAAAAATCAAACTAGTTTCTAAGTTATTGTATATAATTTTAAAATTTTGGAATAGAAGTGATGCAATGTTTATTTATTTTTAGTCTTTTAATTTCCGTATTCAATTATTTGCCCGGACTAATATAATAATCGTGTATAACCTAAATAAATAAGAAGAAAAATTGTCCTTTATTGTTTTTTGCAGTGTAGAAATAACATCAAAAATGATAGAAAAACGTTGGAGGGCGTTTTTCTTACAACGTTTCGCAACATTGTTAATATAACGTTGACCTATGTTTCATATATGCCATTATTCTAACGTGTAAAAAATGATAGAAAAGACGTTGGCTCAACGTCATTTTAGCTAAAATATAACGTTAGCCTAACGTCCTCATAACGTCTGTTTTCTTCAAATTTAACGTTGCTCTAACGTCTTTTCGATGTCATTTAGCTAAAATGTAACGTTGTTACCACGTCATTTTACATCGTTGTAATAACGTTAATAAAATGACGTTTTTTCGGTGTTTCATTTATAACATTATGCCAACGTCTTTCCAACGATACGAAAGACGTTAGAATAACGTTGTTCCGACGTCATTTTTCTTATTGGGGTAGTAGAAGAGCGTTCGTCTCTTAATCGAGAAGTTCCGAGTTCGATCACCACCACGTCCCTAGTACTACCGCGCGCAACTTGTTTCTCCACGTAGCGGTCTTGTTCGTCATGGTTTGTGTTTCGGAGTTATAGAGTTGAGAGAGGATTGTAACAACAACAAAAGCAGCTTCCACGACTGGAATGGTTTTTTGGCCTTGAGAAGGTAAATTAACACGCAAAAAAAGGCTTGACACGAATTAATAAAATCTCTCCTTTTTTCTGCGATAACATCAGAATACTTTCCTTACTACTTATCTGCGTATAATCAAGTAGCAATTACAAATTTTACAATCGATAGGTTTAAGGGATAAAGATAAATAATTTAACGTAAAACATTTTGCTAAAATGCACAGTTAAATTATTTAAGAATATAATTAACTTCCTTATGAGATAACTATTTTATTTGATATCATTAATGACCTAAAAAAAAGCTCTTTCTAATAACAATTCTAATAACAATGCGCATGACAAAGTAAATGCTTTTAGTTCGGTTAACGTATGTTTTTTTTTTTTAAATATATTCGTCTGGGTTTACATATAATGTCTTATTTATTTTATTTATTTTCTTTGCCGTTTAATAAAATTTACAATAAAAAAGATCGTACACGTAAAATGAAAGGCCGGAACAAGAAGAAGACGTATATTGTCTTATCGCCGAGCCCCGTTTACATTGTCGCCTTCAGTTTATGTTACAAGTTAAAATTAATAGTTAAAAATTTACAGGTTGAAGATTATATAGTAAAACACAATCTATTACAATTAGTAAATCTTATAATAATAATAATAATAATAATAATATATATATATATATATATATATATATATATATATATATATATATATATATATATATATATATATATATATATATATATATATATATATATATATATATATATATATATAATATATATATATATGAACAAAAATTAACGCCGTGATATGTGCGAATTCGCTAAAAGAATTTGCAAACATTTGCATAAGTGCGAACTGACATAAGTGCAAAGCAGTTACAAAAACTGGCACAAGTGCGAACTGGCATAAATGCGCCGAACAAATTTGCGAACATTGGCATAAGAGCAAACTGGTATAAGCGCAAAGAAGTTACAAAAATTCGAACTAGCAAAATTACGCCGAATAAAATTGAATATGTTAACATAATTGCAAATTGGTATTTCGCACTTATGCAATAGGGATGTTCAAATATATATTTTTTTCAAATTGCAAACACACAAGAACCTAGAGCAAATATTAAAAAAATACAATTACATTAAAAAATTTCCAAAATTATTGATATTTACTTTATACTCAAGTGGCAAAATACCCAAAAAAATGCCCCAAATTGTTCCCAAAATGAACCTTCGCCAGTTTGCACTTAGGCCACTTGCACTTATGTCAGTTCGTACTTATGAAATTTGCGCTTTTTCAGTCGTCCCATTAAATATATTAAAAAAAGTAACATTGAGTTCAACTTTTTTTGATCTCCCTTCCTCCCCCCTTATCAACTATTATCAAAAAAATTGTGACCCTCCTTCACCTTATTTTGTTGACGTAAGTAATGAACAGCCCCTTACAGGCCCGCCCACAGCTTTTACGATGCCCAGGTCCAAAAGTTTGATGGATGCCCTGCCATACTTCATGTCTTAAAATGAAAAATACCAAATAAATGAGCATAGTTATTTTTTGTTTACTTTCATAGAAAACCTAAAATCACATTTAATTAATTTTGGTTTTTAAAAACAAACTATGGTAAAATTAAGTCTTGATATCAAACACATTTTCCGGGTTTTGATAGCGGCAAAAATAACTTCTGCATAATAAAATTTTATTACATAATCTTTGATGATAGTTAACTTGCTGAAAGATTTTTCACCTTAAGATTTTAAAACTGGCAACATTTAAAAAATCCCAAGCGAAAAACGCGCTTGAGGAAATATTGAATGCAATCGTTTGCATAAACCTCATTTAGAAGTTCGACAGGCCTAAAATATTTCTTCTTACGGAAAAAAAATTTCAAACTTTATCAGAAAATTTGTTTTTTAAATAAGTCTTTTTGGTAACGTTTAGCCAGATTCTCAGCTTTTAAACCTAATTCTTTGTCTGTTTGAGATATCTGTGGAGACCAGAAACTTAGATTCTTCTTATTTTACTTTAAATTTTGGTCTCATTTGACTAGTCAGATTGTCTAGTGCAATATTGAAGGCAATACACTCAAAGTTTTTGGATGCTTCTTCTTGGTTGTAACTAACAGTTTCATCATGGAAGGCATTTTTTTTGTGTGTTTTCTTCACAGCAAATATAATTTCATTAAACTTCTGTTGCCTCTATCAGATATAATCAGGTCCTAAGACAAACGGATTCGATCCAAATCTGTTAAAAGGCCAATTCAGAATCTTTACTTCATCATCGAAAGTGAGTTGAGTGAATCAAAGCTGAAGACTCGTGTTATTAATCAAACACTTTAAGCAAGTAGTAGTAAAAACGAAAAATTCAAAAGAATTCATCTATTTAATTAGATCATGCACTTCATTACTACTTTCGCCTGAAAGGTCTAACTCTTTTGGACGATGTAATGATTTCAAGATCTTTCTTGGGTTTTTTGCTAGCTTAACTGTTTAATCGTTGAGCTCCATCATGTAACAGAAAGTTTATGTAATGATTGGCCTGTCTCCTCCTGAAGAATTTTCCAATTCTATGTCAAGCTCATTTACATTTGTAAAGATATTAAAAATATTATTATTTGAGTACTAATTAGTAGTAGTAGTAGTAGTAGCAGCAGCAGTAGTAGTAGTAGTAGTAGTAGTAGTAGTAGTAGTAGTAGTAGTAGTAGTAGTAGTAGTAGTAGTAGTAGTAGTAGCAGTAGTAGTAGTAGTAGCAGTAGTAGTAGTAGTAGTAGTAGTAGTAGTAGTAGTAGTAGTAGTAGTAGTAGTAGTAGTAGTAGTAGTAGTAGTAGTAGTAGTAGTAGTAGTAGTAGTAGTAGTAGTAGTAGTAGTAGAAAAATTGCTGCAACAGGGTTCCCTGTATAACCTACAGACTTTGGCAGCCTTATCTACTTCATATACTAATTTTATTAATATCAATATATAAAAATTTACAATAAGATATATAGTATGAAGTATAAGTTTGTACTTTACTGTTTTTTCTTTTTTTTTTTTTTTTTAGTTATAATCTCGATACTTATGCGGATTATTTGAAATTCTGCATCAAGCTTAGCCTTGAAACTGTTAACTGATAAAGCGCATACAACTTCTGACGCCAATGATTCACTATTCGATTAGTAAAAAACTGGTGCCTTTGCTCGCAATTTTGGACATATTTTCTAATCATTTTTAGATGATGTCCTCTAGTTTTTATTTTATTTGACTCCTCAACACGAAGGATATGGGGTTCACTCCATGAGACAATGTCTATATTGTTAATAATTTTATAGGCCTGTATCAGATCTCCCCTAATGCGACGGGTTTCTAAAGACGTTAAGTTCAGTATATTTAGACGATCTCTGTATGACATATGACGGTGCGAAGGTATTAAACGGGTAGCTCTTCTTTGTACTTTCTCAATTTTTATCAATATCTATTCTTGATGATGGATTGCTGGCTACTACCGCAAATTCCAGATGAGGTCGTACAAAGGTTGTATATAGAATTTTAAGTAGTTGCGGAGTCATGTAACTGAAAGTACGATTCAACATGCCTAATACACGGTTAGCTTTATTGGTTGCAAAAGTTGAACTGTTATGCCATTTTAAGTCTGGCGTAATCATGATGCCTAAATCACGTTCGACTAAAGTCGATGCTAGTTCGACACTGTTATTGTTATTAGCTGGCATTGAGTAGACATAAAAGTTGTTTTTTTTACCTATGTGCATGATTTTACATTTATCGAGATTTATCAGTTTGAAGCATTTGTGAAGCTAATGGGCGACTAAAAGGGGCAGCAGTTTAGTGTCATCAGCATACATTTTACATGGATCGTTAACAATATCGGATATATTGTTCACAAAAATGATAAAAAGTATTAGACCTAATACGGATCCTTGAGGGACGCCACTAAATACCTCAAGCCACAAGGAAACATAATCGCCCATCACAATTTATTGAAAACGCTGGTGCAAAAACAATTTTATCCAATTCAGGAGATTTCCAGTAAAACCATATACCTCAAGTTTGTAAATTAGTTTCCTGTGGGGAACCATATTGAATGCTTTACTAAAATCTATAAAAGCTACGTCCATAGATATCTTGTCAAATAATGCTTTTGACATCATATCAATCAACTCCAACAAATAAGCTTTTTTATTGACAAAAAAGCTTTTTTATTGATTACTTTACATACAACTGATGTTAAGGATATAGGCCGGTAAT